CGGGATCTATGCTATAGGCGGCTGCCTCAGCAAAATCGCTAGCATTGCTGTTAACACTCATGTTGCTTAGTATTGTTGCCAATCTATCGTTGATTATTTGATCTATATATAGTTCACTATGGAATTTGTTTGACCACTCTTATAGTTTTGATGCATCGTCTGTCTACTTGCTGTTCGTTGCTGCTGTCTCTGGTTGTATTCGTCGTTATTGGCGTTGGTTGGTGCTGAACTTGGTAATTCGTCCGTGTCAACTGTATTAAGTACTGCGGGTCGTAATAGATTATTCGGGTTGGCCATGGTTAGTTAATTTTTTGTTAGTATAAGCGAATGTGTTTATGGATAGAGTGTAATATTGAAGAAATGCTTGAAATATGTAAAAAAATGTTGTAGTGTAAAATTGTAAAGGCAAAATGAATTTAATGTATTATATGAAATTGTGAAAATATTAATAATATTAAAAATGATACGATTTATCTTTGGTTTAATATGCTTAAGCATTAAATTTTGCAAGTGGAATATCTAAATCGAGGTTAAAAACTAGTCGACAAATTTTTGCAGCGCGTTTGTGTTCTACTGTTTCTTATTTTTTTTTGTTTTAGGTTACACTGCGCAGCTATAAGTTCGGTACACTAGGCTTATATTTGTAACTAGTTTTTAATTTGATTCGCTGTTTTTTCTTAATTTTGTATTAATTATTTCACTTATATATTTTTTTCCAATTTACTTTAACTTAATCACCAATTTTATATATTAATTTTCTTAACTTATATTTGTAACTAGTTTTTGATTTGATTCGCTGTTTTTTCTTAAGCTTGTATTAATTATTTTACTAATATATTCTTTTTATATTTTTTTTCAATTTACATTAACTTAATCACTTATTTTCTTTATCTTACAAAACTGTTGTTTGTGCGTTCTCCATCTCCGATGATGCCGAATTTATCCCTCTTGGTATCCCCTACTCGCGGTTCGGCTGTTCATACGTTATTGCAAGATGTGCTCTGCGAACGGATCATACAAAGCGTTAGCCCACGTTGCACAAACTGTGGCTGCTATCTGGTTTTGACATTTTCGACATTATTGATTTTTGACATTGATTAAACGCACTTAGAAACGTTTGTTCTGTCGTGGTTTATTTGTGGTCGATTCGCGTACTTAGATGACTTTTTGCACTGTTGTATTCGCGATCGGTCCCTGCTTGGGCGCCAGAATTTTATTTTTACTTGTGATCAGGTTGATCCCAGATTTTAGACTAATTTATTCTTAAGATGATTGTACCCTAGCTAGCTAAAGTCCGAGTTGATGGCGCCAGCGCTGCTGATGACTCTCGCGACATTGTCTGCATTCAGCGGCGGGTTGTTGATCGAAGCGGTTCTTGATCGAAGAGAGAGTTGCGCGCCAAATTTGTTGTTAGGAATTGCAAGCTGCTGAACTTCGGTACTTTCGCGCTATTGCAGCGGTTCTTGATCGAAGAGAGAGTTGAGCGCCAAATTTTTTGTTAGGAATTGCAAGCTGTTGAACTTCGGTACTTTCGCGCTATTGCAGCAATTCTTGACTTTGTTGTTAGGAATTCCAGACTGCGGAATTTCGTAACAACTTTGTTGTTAACTTACATAACCAGGATAATGCTCTAGCACTAAGACTACTGGATGACTCAAGCAACCACAGGCGACTTAAAAGATATCATGCCCTAGACTTGCCCCACAGAAATAGATAAAAATGTAAAGTAGGTTAATATGTGGATTGATCTCATTGGAGCCCAAGACATCCGGTTACGTAATATTATTTTTAACAAATTTGTTTATTGTCTAGTATAAGAAAAATTTAAAAAAAAAACAGAAATTAAAAAAAAATTGTTTAGGATTTGAACTGGTACATATTTTTGTTAGTTTCGGGTACAATGATATACCGCCTAAGATACTCCTGCTATTCACACGGACTCTCCTCCTGTTTAATACAGTGCTCTCCTCCGACGGAACTCACTACAAACACACTTGAGTATTTGCAGGACTGAATCGAACTTTTTTTGCCGTGTAAAAAGAGTTCTGTGAAATATCAATATCGATATCAAAAAGATAGAGTGGGTATATCTGCGACCTATAATGTATACAAAATCGGATAAGAATTGACGAAAATTTAATAGACACGGCCACTAGGGAAGCAGCAAATCGGATCTGATTATATAGTGCTTTCGATAAATTGAATATAATTCCCAACTAAGAAAAATAGAATATATCCGAAGGATTGTCTATATCTTCGAAAGTTGCTGAGCTAGAAATATTAAAAAGTATATAAAAAGTACCATGTATTCCCACAATTTCAGCGCCTTAGACTTAAAACCAGACAGTTACGTTAATATAACCCCATATCTATCAAAGTTTTGGAACTGGTAGCGTTTAGACGGTGAATGTGTTTATGCAGTTATTGATTCATCTCATGTGGAAGATAGTTTTTTGACATAATTACGAGTATTTCACATGTCTTTCATCTTTCATGCTTCAAATAATCGTCTTATCTAAACGTTTTATGTTGTTTTATGTCATTTGGGCGGATAACTCTTCGTCTATCCTGACGGATAACATCTTACTAAGATGGATAAGTCATCGTCACAACTGTCGGCTTAGCTCTTCATGAAACCTATACAACACACAAGTTAAATAAATAAAGTTTGACATTGGTCATTTTATGTACAGACTGACCGTGAAAAAGTATTTTTGATGCAGATCAACACTTTTATACCTTTCCCTTATAAATTTACATTTTAAGTATAGCCCTAAGTTAACTTTAGATATTAATAGCGACTGTTAACTTAACTATGTTAACCAGCTATTGTGATTAACGAAAATTAACTAACTCTTGTCGAATCTTAGCTAATCCTGACACTTGGTAACTAGTGCGAGATCTTATACTGTTCAAATCTACCCCCACACAATTTACCACGGTGGAATAAATCTTAGAAGACTAGCCTACTTCCCGATCAGCATTTCCAAGCGACTTGCATAATCGATTCTACTGCACTCCATACATTTTTAGTGTGCTCATTATACATTTGATTTTGTAGACTTGTTCTTCAGCAAATACACAAGTCTTATTAAATATATCTATCTAGTAAAATAGGTGTTTATCTATTACGTTTCCAGTAAAATATACATTCGTGTATGTGTTTTTTTGTTTGATGTACAGTTTATCAAAAACTCTTTACACACTGAAAATAAATACAATTTTTACTTTAGGTGCAAAATTAAAGACTTCTTATTCAAATTAAAGAATTTTTTATTGATTAACTTTTTAATATTTATTGATTTGAATTATAAAAAAAGAGAGCAAAACTTAAAAATGTGTAAGAATATAAAATACAAAAACTAAATTTTTTTTAAGCTGTCAAGGAACTCTTTATACAAAATACTGTGATCGTTCTTAACTTAAAATAGAAATCAAATTATGTTAATTTTAATATTTAGCATTTAATACGTGCTGAAGGTGTTGTCTCATGGAATGGACCAACTGTATTAAGTATTCAAGAGGGATCTTTTTCCTCTTCTGAGATAGGAGATTTCATCTGTGTTCGGTTCTTTGCATCCCGTTTTCACACTCTATTCTATAGGTTCAATGAAGTTCAGATCGGGACTCTGTGGTGGTGAATCACAATTATAGAGGAGTCAAGTCCTTAAGCTTCGAATCATTAACATGATAGAATTTAAAATTTCGCTTATTGTTATTAAACAAGCCTAATTTTTTCGCACTTCTCTTTAAATTCATGTTTAAAATGTTTAAAATGTTTAAAATGGTGTCCTCTATATATGCAAGCTCTCCAACTCCTCGGCTAGAGATGGACCCCCAAACCATAACGGAAAGCTTTTCAAATTTTACAAATGCCTTTCGCCATAATCTGGATGGACCATTGGTACTGTACAGTATTACTATTGTTTCGGCGAAAAAAATGATGTTTTCCCAATATTTTGGCTATAATGTTTATAGCAAAATTAAAGCGATTTCCTACATTTACCAATAAAAGCAGTGGTTTCTTTCATGCAACTCTTGAAAAGTGCCTATGCCATGGTGACACATCTAAGTCACATTATTTCTTTAGGTTTGCCCAACTTTTTTTAGCCAACCTGTACCCTTTTCTTCAAGCCAGCCTTCGATTTCCGCGCCACCTAACATTATAAATTGCTTTCCTTGATATAAAAAACTCTTCAACTAATTCTTGAGGAGATTTGACCATTTTGTGATTGTAATAAATCAATTGGATCCAAAATCAATTTAATATCTTTTTAGATTATTACTCAACAAAATTTCACATCCGAATTAAAAGAAATGCAAAATTAAATATGCAAATAAACATTGAGAGACAAAAAATCATAGATAACGGTAAAACACCGTTATTTTCAACAATTATATCGAGACAGACTTCCAAGACGCACTGCGTAAACAGATTTTTGACACCTTGTTAATTATTTTGTTACACATTTTTGGTTTTGCTTTCTTTTTCATATTACTTAACAATAAAGCATTAAACAAATTTAATAAATTTTAATAAAATGCCATTCATTTTGCACCTCAATCAAACATTCAAACATTTTTTTTGTGCAGAGTTTCTTGACAAGCTGAAAGTACCAACGAACCGTATAACGATTATGTAGAACAAGAATTAAAAAGCTCAACAGCTCATGGAAAATATTGGAGCAAATCATTAATATTATGTATTTTTTAATAAAACCAACGTAGGGTGTCTTAACTGTTATAAACTTGACTTGACACACCCACGGTAATTAATTTATATGTCTTTCAATATAGTTGTGCTGATAAATACTGTTTAATTTTTTTTTTTGGCGTCACAAAGGTTGAAATTTTATTTTTAACATGATTGTATTTTTAATAAACACTCTTTAAATGTTGTGTTTAGTTACTTAAGTAGAAATTTAAATAAATTTGATTTGTAATAAAAACTATTCTAAATTTCCTAATCGAATAAATAAGTATTCGATATTTATAATACAAAGTATCTGTTATCGCTATAAAAAAATATTATAACTAAAGATCTAAAATGTAAAAATGAAGTCTGGAAAATTAAAAAGGAATTTTTGGTTAACTGCAGAAATTGAATGCATGCTTAATTTAATAAAAGAAGTAAGAGTTACTCAAGAACCCACACACAGCACGACGACGCACAGTACTTTTACTCAAATTGCCAGCAAAATGAAAAGGCATGGATTCCCAAACAAATCGCCAACTCAAGTTCGTCGAAAATGGTTTCAGATGAAGTCTGCGTATCTTTGTTACAAAAAAGGAAACGTGGATAGGCTCTTCTTAATACCTGAGAAATTTCGAAGCGTAATTGCTCAATTTGTTGAAAATGGAAGCAAAGTGCGACGAGTTCCCTCAACTACACCACCGACAAATGAGTGCAAAATGCAGCACCAAAGTAAATAAATGATTTATATACTTTTCTAAATTAAATTCCTTTAATTTATACTGTCTTATATTCATTTCAATAGTAAAACCGGAGTCGGCAGTCGATGTATTTTTAGTCCAACTCAAACAAAGTAATAGTTTATTGAATGTTGAATTCAATAAATTGGAATCAGCACTTTTAAATTATGAGCAAAGGTGCCAATCAATGCGAGATTACAACATAATAAAATATATGACTTCCTAAGAAAGAATTCTTGATTTAAAAATAAAAGATTTTTCTACTTTCAAATGTTTTAAACACAATGATTTAACCAGAAGTGTAAAGAAAAGCATAATATTTCATTTCCAGGTATAAAGCTAAATCCGGCACAAATAAGTACATATGTGTATACATACATAAAAATGCTTCTTTCGAGTCATCAGCTGTAAGACTAGAAGATACAATTTTTTCCGAATTGACCAACAGAGTTCTTAAGACAGAATAAACGTTGCAATGTTTTACTCGAGAAAAGGTAGTGCGAATATCTACAGACAACATTAAAAAAAAAACTAGGTTGTAACATTGAATGAACGCAATACGGAGGGTGTATAACGAACGAAACACCTAATGAAGGCAGGATATGGTCTGGATCTGGATCTTATATCGCTTTTCACAAGCGAGAGTTAACCGATCTTAGAAATTCACTGCTAAAATTACTGGATCTTGAAAATACAGCCAATAAGCAACATGTTACTGCATCGATCACTTAAATATTTAACTTGCAAACGCTTTTACATATGTGATAGTATGAATTATAATTAAAGCATTCAAACACCTAATATTAAATATAGACTATCAATGGAGAAATCAATAAAAACGGAAACTTTATTTCCAGTCAAACTCATTTCAGTTTGAGTGAACAAAAATAGTGTATTGCGATAGTTGCTGATCGACAATCTCGTTTGATCACTGAACACCTTTTAACTGTAAGCTTCCATGTAATCGGATTATTTACAACACTATTAGGATTGACTCTTTACTTTTTAGAATAAACGCCGTTTCTTTAAAAGTATTGTGTAGTCGGTTGCTGCCGACTACAACGTAATTATAGACTGAGTTGAAGTTTTTCAATTGATAACTTGAACTCATTATTATTTATTATCAATATTAGTTATACATACTCTAAACAGTACCACTATGCTTCCATACTTCTCTAGAAAAATGTAAAGAATAAAGTACCATTTAAAAACTCGTTAATGTTGGTAACAGTTTTTATTTTAATATTGGCTTATTAAATTAAAATACCGACGTTCTACTTACATCTTAAGAAATTTCAATATTCTAATATAATAAAAAGTTTTCTGGAAGATCAACTGGTACCAACTGTTACCGCAACAGGTATTACATTTTGCAGTGTGCTTGATGACGGTGTCGGAGAGATGGATACGTAAGTATCGTTATTTTTCAGTAGCTTATCGTCCTTAGTATCATTAAAATACCAATTTTTTTTGTTGGCCAGGAACAGTAACATAAGAACAGGTAGATGTATTAATGAAAACCTAAATAACTTACGAGAACTTCCACTATCAGATTTGTGATAAAATTTATACGCTGCAAATACAAAACACAAAATTCACAAAGCTGGTTAATATTAATAATATTCGTTGCTTAAAGGAAAGCACCTAATCTATATAGTAATATTATAATTGGTCTGTATGAATGCATAATCATGCAAACGCTTCCGTCATTTTATAAAACTTTTCATTCAAAAGGAAGGAAATGGAACTTTCACGTTAACTTATTTTAACTTTGACGTATTACTGCTAGCTACTGGTAGTTTTTAAAATGATGAGTTTTACTTACCTAGATAACAAAAGTATGCGTTTAATGGTAATGTTTCCAATGCAAACCAATAATTAGTAATGTCAACAATTGGAGCTACCAAGCTCAGTCCACAAATAGCGGAGGCATAGCGCAATGCAGTGCGACGGCACAGGTCTGGATTAATAACAGCCATCATACGATAACCGGCTCGTGAATAATCTGGGCGTAGATTCCATGATAGGGCATTAAAATGCGGAAACTGCCAGGCGTATAGAATTCCTGCAAGAACCATAGCACCTGTATCTAAAGTTCCTGTACAACCAGACCATCCCATTAGTGGAGGTATTGCCCCCACAATTGATCCAATCCATGTGTTAGCAATACTCATGCGTTTCATAGGCGTGTAGATAGATGTGTAAAGAAAGAGATTTCCAGCACCCAAGGCAGCTGTAAGACCATTAACTCCAAAATACAACAAACTTAATCCTGTTGTAGCTGATAGTACTGCGAAACTAACTGCATGCAGTGGGGTTATTTCGCCAGTAACCAGAACACGGTTTTTTGTTCTAGACATTTGTGAATCAAATGGAACTTCGTGATACTGATTGACTGCATTCGCCGCTGCTGAAACCAAACCAGTTCCTACAGTGCACATAATAAATGAGGTTGCATCAAAACCGGCAGGTGCCATTGCATAGCCTCCCATTGTTGTTATTACAACTAACGCTGTTAAGGAAAATCATTAATCTTACTCAAATACAGTTTTGATGTACTTACATGTCAAGCGAAACTTAGAAAGTTTTTTATATTTATTAAAAATGCTCCCCACATTTCTATATGGACTCGGCAGCCACGGCCTTTTTAATTGTTTTTCTGTGTCTTGTTCACTATATATGCGAGAACGATGTGGTACAACAGATAATGGGACATCTTTTACCATATGAAGCTTTGAGTTTGCCGATAATTTTGCTATGGTTGAAAACTAAAAATAAATAAATATTAAAATATATGCACATTGCATAACATTTTCATATAAATCCTACCTGAATCAGGTTGATTCGCATTGAAGATATCTGCGTTGGTAGGCACTTGAAAGTACTACATTTTTTAAATTTGCGAAACATTCTGTATATGTATTGTACTTAATTTCATAACATTACCGATAAATATTTTTATAAAAAAAGATAGAGATGAGTGACATTTACAAATCAACTACATCAATAACGTATATATAAGTAACGAATAGCTATGGATGATTTAAAAACTGTGATGTAATATTATATTATGTACGAAAGACTTTTCGGTTATATTTAAGCTAACACAATTGGTTTTACGATGTACAAACTAAGTTGAATGAAAAAATTGAGCTAATTATTCATTCACATATTTCGTATTTTATAATCCAAAAGGGTTATTTTAGTTCAAAATATTTGAATTTTATTTAACGACATTTTTAAAAAGCCGATAGAAAAATATGCTAGTATATTTAATCAACACTATATGTAAGCGCAAATCACAAGGTTCGATGCAAAGTTTGACCGTGACAAAAAGCAAACCTATAACTTCTAATATAAAGTCCCTACTCTGACTTGTGTAAAGCTCTTCCGCGAAAGCCCTCATTGTATTTGCCTCCAGTAAAATATAATCATAAAATAATAATATTAATTGCATTATTAAACGACGCAACTGTGATTAACTATATATAAGAATTTATTCAGCCTTAATATAGATAGTAAAACATAGTTGACTAAAAATCTCATTGGGAAATTCTAAAATCACACTTAATGAATTGATATTTCAAATATGCTTAGAAAGTACTTTAAGAACGGAATCAGTATCGCTTTTAAAAATATGGAAAAAGAAAATCCTATCCTCAAATGCTTATTATTTAACAGCAAGAGTCCAGCAATCATAAATGCATATTTTTTTGTACCATGCACAGAGCACACATTATTTATTAACTCATGACATCGTCCGATTTCCTTATTATCGATAATGAATTTATGTAGAAAAGAAAATACTTAGAATATCACCTATTCGAAGGGTTCAAGGCTTCTTCTCGTCAAACAATTTTGATGTGATTTTAATTTATATAAACGCGAAGGCGATCGGTGAAATATCCTTTCGGGATTTACAAATAAAAATGAAACTTTTCTGTAAATTATTCAACGATTGGGCAGGAATACGTAATTGCGTTAAAACTTTTTAACTTACCTTTCACACGTAACTATGTAAAAGTTAAAAGTTTGGACCACTATACACAATTTTTATGTTACTCTCTGTATGCAGCCAAAATCAGCTTCGCGTTGAATAAATTTCAATTTTCCTGCTGCTTGTGCTTGCATGCAAATATATTTTCATAAGGTTGACACTGCAGAGATCGGAGAGTAAACACAAAAGTTAGTGTATAGTGGACTTCATTTCGCCTGAACTCAAGAAACGTACTGATGTTGAGATCCTATATTTCTCTTGAGCGAACCTAAAAACAAGGTATTCATGTCACTATTTTAGTTTGGACTATCCACTTAACATGCAACAAGTGAAATAAAAAAAATCTAGAATAAAGATACTTTTACTACACACATATATTATTATATTTTTGTAATAATATAATAACATTCTTCTTAAGTTTTAAATTTTGTTCTTAATTCTTAATGTATTTAGATCAAAAGCGAGTGACAATGGAAGTCTATAAGTAGTGATTGCACCTACTAAAAAATACTAAAAATGAGTTATTAAAGTATAAGTGTTCTATCAAGTTTATCTTATGGATAAGAATTTTATAAAAACCTTTTTTTAGTTTGTGTTCACTAATTTTCAGTATTTTTATTTTTTTAATTATAGATAGTAAATTCAATAGTTGAAACTTAATGTAGCACTCTATAACTTATCGATAAATATATTCGATATTTTTCTTATATATTTACCACATTTATTTTTTTCCTTCATCAGTCTGTCTGCTTTTGTCTTTTCGTTTCTTTCGGAAAACTGGTATTCTGACTAGTTTCTTTAAAACTTAGGACGGTTGAATATTTCATTGGCGAATTCGTTGTTACATATGTATCATTAGTACAATATTGTTTTAGTTAGCTGAAAACGCTAAGACTGCGACCTACACATACCTTTGTACATATATACGTGTACCAAATGCTACAATAATTGTGTATGTATAAAAGTTATTTCATATTTATTTTTTGATTCTCTTAAGCATACATATGTATGTACGCCTTTAGGTGTGCCATAAAACAATATTTTCGACAGTTCTATTGTGTTATATTAATCACATAAAATAACTTGAAAACATTAGTGATGTTTGTAATTATTGAATTGTCGAAGTTGCATACTAGTATTAAAATCGCATATATTACGTATTTCTTATGTATAACTATATTTAAATTAAATTTTAGTATGTATGTATATATATATTTGAATACTTCAAATAAATTGTGTTGCAATATTGGTATTTAAATATGTATTTTCTTAACCGTGTCTGTAGATAATATTTACTTACATATGTATATATAAATGTATAAATGTATATATATATATATATATATATATATATATATATATATATATATATATATAAATTTATTATGTATATATATTATATATATATAAATGTAATTTAAAAAATAGATATCAAAATTAGTAGCTTTTTTCTGTATTTATATTAAAATTTTCGCATTTTTTACATGTAGATAGTATTTTATGCTGCATACCCTAAATTTACTAAAATTTTAACAAGATGGCAACACTTCAGAAACAATCAGTTATTCAGTTGTAGTAGGCCCCTAAAAATGTAATTGATTTTATAATTACCAAAATTTATTTATAGCTATTCAAAGTGTAAATATTTATATATAGTTGCAGAAGTAAATAAAATATTTTTAACAATTGTTAATGTTCAAATCAAACGGTAAATTGAGGAAAAGTTAGTCATATACTGGTCTAATTGAAAAATGGTGACAAAATGTATATGGAGATTAAAAATCTATAATACATATTTAAATATTTAAAATTAATCACAAATATATTCAATCTTTCAAAATTATATTTTTAGTTTTTTTCCTTTATATATACGGACCGAGTTAGTTCAAAGCAAACATTTATGTCCATATAAAACTGTAGATTGCGCTTCATACACAGATTTGATATAAATACTTGGATTTGTTGTAAATAAGTTCATGATATAAATATATCAAAAACAAGGCTTATAAGCAGGTGTGTATATATGGTCACACCTTTAGCTTATTTAACAATTTCCGTTTAATATAGGTAAGTTCCGCATGGTCTAAGCCACCGTTCTACCGGTCTTCAGATAATTGGACTATCTCAGTGAAAATGATTGATAAAATGAGCACTTAGTTTCACTTTAGACATGGGTAAAACGGGAAATGCTTTAGATTTTTTACTTCGGAAAGAAAATTATTCAAAAATGCATAAAATACTTCGTAATACTCATTCACAGTCTAAACGCACGTATATATTCAAAATTTTAAGTCTACCTTCAATAAAGGCAAAATGATGGGCGGTCATACAAACCGTCAGATGTATTTGTTATCTGCAAATTAACTCGTATGCTTACTTCAACTGGTGATTCGTTGCCGTGTTTGAAATTACAGCAGAACAGTCGATTCAAATCAGGTGTCAACACTTTTATTTCTGGTCCGAATAAAAAGTATTCATCTTTGTTATCAGATATGTCATGGGGTAATAGATCCATAAAAAAAAACGTTGGACTCTTATTGTTCTATTTTGAATAGTATTCATTTAATTTATAAATATATTTTAATACTCATTACATAATTTATTAAGTCATTTTCAATTGTAGATATATTTTGTAATATAATAATATACATTTTAATTTTTTTACTTTCATTGGTTCTGTTCTTTACCCTTCATTAGTGAATTAAAATAAGTCAATCCGGGTTTTGCGTTAATAAAATAAAACATTAATATTTTCACGCAGGAATAAAACATCATTGATTTTGTTATAAAGGACAACAGTAAAACGTACAGTACTATTTTAATCAAAATAATGAACGGTTTAGCCAACAGTAATGACGACACTATTGAGTGTCCACTGTGTATGGAACCACTAGAGGTGGATGATTTGACTTTTTTCCCATGCACTTGTGGATACCAAGTAAGTATAGTAGAATATGAAAATATTGCACATTTATGTATTTTATTATTTGCAGATTTGTAGATTCTGTTGGCACAGAATTCGTACAGACGAGAACAAATTATGCCCAGCATGTCGAAAAGAATATCCGGAAAATCCTGCTGATTTTAAGCCACTAACTCAAGAGGAAGTAAGTATATATAGTCGGAGGACCTATATAACTTAAATATAAACAAGTAATAATGTTACATCGGTCATTACTAACAGCATAATACTCGTTAACTTCATTTTTATGGTTTGGAGATTTTGCCCCACCACTTAGGAGTAAATAGTTTTTTCCAATTAACCACGAAGAGGCATATAGTATATTTTAGTAAATTACTAGCTGTCAACAGTAATTTAATTGTTACATTTTTAGTTTCTACCTGTAAAACTATGCTCCAAAAACTTTACAAACCATTTTCAATTTACACGTGTAACTCAATGATCGAATTTTTAAGACTGAACAATCAATCAGTCTTATAATTTTATACGAGGATTTCATACACTGTACGGTAATATTTCAAATTTAAAGTTCCTTGTGTTAGAGATATAACATATATTGGACAAAACAATATTCTTCTGATTTTTGAAAGTTTTTAACAGTAGCTCACGTCTCAAATTTTGGGGTTCCACTTTTAAATCTGGAAGGTACAGTTTCCCCCAATAGTCGGAAATATATTTACTATATATTTTTCAGTTTTGGTTGTCCATTCGGCCTTTTGCGAACACCAATAGTTTTTCTGTTAAACCACATATGGTTTTACCCGATTCGCTACGCCCCTCGTAGGCATATCTAAACATTTTTGAGCACTCATAGCGATGAAATGGCTTGCGTTAATTCTGACGAACGATAAAACGTATATTGCAGAAAATCATAATACTCTTTTTCACTTCGTGAAGAAATATGAATGTACAAATCGTGATTGTCGCTGTATTATAATAGTAATGATTAGAATTAGTTATTTTAAAATATATATATAAAATAAATTTACTATTGCTAGGATTTGCTAATATATATGATTAGTTACATAATAGGTTTTATTTAAACAGAAACTATATTATTTTGTTTTAAAATCGACAGCCAGTGTTTATTATTAAAAAGTTATACAGTGGGTGAGTTTATTTATTATTATGCTATAAATATATAATTCGGTCAACCCGTCCCTTTATATCCCATTGAAAATGGGAAATCAGGGTATAATAGTTTTGTGCAAATGTATGTAACAGGCAGAAGGAAGCGCGGCAGACCCCATTAAGTATATATATTTTTCATCAAAACGATAAGCCGAGTCGATTGAACGCGTCGAACTCAGCATCTATGAGTTAGAGACATGAAAAAACAAGCTTGTTTCATATATTCGATAACTATTTAATTGTTATTATTATCTCGGATGTCTTAACAGCTAGAGCCTCCAAATTTTGTGTTAAATTTTATGTATATTTTATGCAATTTTGATTTTTGATGGATTTTGGATACTGGCTCCAAATTTCCCCAAATTCTTAAAATTCAAGTTCTGTGGAAAATTGGCTTAAGGCTTAAGGGCTAGAGCCTCCAAATTTTGTATTTAGTTGAATGTAAATATTATACAATTTTCCCAAATTCTTTAAATTTAAATTCACTTGGAACTAGGGCCATTATGTTAAGGCGTTTGCATCTCTACCAAGTCAATAGAATATGTAGATCATATGCTGAATTTTTTTTTTATTTGCAGTCTCTCTTATATTAGACAATAAACCAATTTTTTAACAATAATATTAAATAACCGGATGGCTTGAGCTCCAATGAGATCAATCCAAATATTAACCTACTTTACATATTTATCAATTTCTGTGGGGCAAGTCTAGGGCATGACATCTTTTAAGTCGCCTGTGGTTGTTTGAATCATCCAGTAGTCTTAGTGATAGAGCATTATCCTGGTTATGTAGTTTATTCGTGTATCTGTTTGCATATAGTTGTATTTCTTCTTTAACAAGGGGCAGTTTGACATCTTTCTGGCTTAAGAACTAGAGCATCTAAATTTTGCATTTAGTTTTATGTATATTTTATTCAATTTTAATTTTTGTTATATTTTGAATACCGGCTTCGAATTTCCCCAAATTCTTTAAATTTACGTTTAGTTGGAAATAGGGCCATTATGTGAAGGCGTTTGCATCTTTACCTAGCCAATAGAATATGTAGATCATATGCTAAAAATTTCATTAAAATTTATTAAGTAAAACAGAAGTTGTTATACAAAACGTTTGGCCAATTTGCAAAAGCACAAGTCAGCAGCGGCACGCGCAAGCATTTTTCTTATACGCATGCACACAGACATTCAAAAGCGTGTATTATTTTCTATTCGAAAAATCGAAATTGCTATTGAATACAGCTTGAATTATCACCTGCTACTTAACTCGATATTTGCAAGCGGTGCAGTGGCTGTGTTGGTTTAATTGTCCCTGGGTTCGAGTCAAGTGGAGATGGAATATTTTTTATTGTTTTATTTGTTGAATTATGAAGTGGCGGTGTTGGTAGAGTTGATGCGCATTGCGTATAAATTGTGGGTTCGTATCTTGGTATCGTTATGTCGATTTATTTGTTTTTTTTTTTTGTATACTCTGTACTAACTACGGAAAATATTAAAAAAAAACGCAGATAGGACTGCTTTCTTATTTATTTAAGGGTTCGTGTACGAAAAGTAAATCAATGCTCATATCAAATTTGTCTCAAATAATTGAACGATTTTAAAAAACGGAATCGATAACAAATTTTTGTTGAGGTATGTTCAGATATGTCGATTTCCAATATTGAATGTGATAACAAAGTTTTGGTATATCTTACTATATTTTGAATGTGAAGTTACAACCACGTACAAAATTTGTTTTTTTATAACCGATCGGTATGGAAAACATAATATTAATATTATTAAAAAATATACTAATATAAAAAAATAAACAAATTATGTTTAACCATTTTAGATGATTGCTTTTAAGTCGCAAAAACGTCAGAGAGATCAACAACGAAAACAAAAAATAACTGAAAACCGAAAACACCTTGCAAATGTACGTGTAGTTCAAAAAAATTTGGTATTTGTTGTTGGCTTACCCCCCCGACTTGCTGACGCAGACGTAAGTGTATAACCAATTACAATTTGTATACGTGCCTTCCTAACGTCACAGTTTTCTGTAACAGATATTGAAAAAACATGAATATTTTGGAAAGTATGGAAAAATTCATAAAGTTGTTATAAACCCAAGTACAACCTACGCTGGAGTACAGGTAGGCGGCACACACTTTGTTAATATTAATAATATTTATTTCGTCGTAAAATCCAATAAAAGGGTCCCTCAGCGTCGGCTTATGTCACATATGTACACAATACAGATGCATTGAGAGCTATACAAAGTGTAAACAATATAATGATAGATGGGCGTCTAATAAAAACCAGTCTCGGAACGACAAAATATTGCAGCCATTTTATGAAAAACCAACAATGTCCCAAAGGTGATTGTATGTACTTACATGAGTTGGGTGATTCTGAAGCTAGTTTTACAAAGGAGGTAAAATGCCGAATATCAAATTTATTATGCAGTACTTTATCATTCAAAATTTAAGGAAATGCATCAAGGAAAACATCAAGAGTATGAAAAACGACTACATGATGTTTTAATTGCCACATCTGGGGTAAATACTGTATCTGGAATCGGAGGGTCTACGAATGGTGCAAATGTAGCTGGTAGCGGTACCTCTAAAGCAAACGGTAATACGTTTTTTTTTTTTTATTTTTTATTAAGAAAACGAAAAGAGCAATAACTGATTAATTTCTTGCAGCTTCGGTTACAATATCATCATCATCATCTTCTTCGACATCATCGGTATCAATTGTAAATAGTTCTACATCAGCAAATGCACAGCTAAAAGAGGCTTGGCCCAGCTTATCAGTTTCTCCTATTAATAGCAAAGAAACATTAGGCATTGCCTCCAATGGAAACGGAAAAAATAGAAAAGAAAAGTCCCGAAATGAGAAAGGTCGACATGATAAAAATAAATCCAAAAACAAAAATCATGTTTTCCCTAATGCCAATACATCCAACAAAGAGAACTTTATTCCTGATACTAGGGGCGAACCAAGCACCGTAACAGCAATTCCAGCAGAAGACACAGTCACTGCTTCAACAAAAATAGAATTAGATTCTGTTAACAATCGACCAAAATCGGAACGGAACAAGGAAAAAGGACTGTTAAACCGTGCCTCACTTTCAAAAGACCAAAAAGAAAATAAAGAAGAAATCCAAAAGAGTTCGACTGAAGTCAATAGGCAGTTGGAACATTCTGATAATGAGGCAAATACAAGCAAAGAAATAAGCACGACAAAGCGCAATGAAAGTAATAAAATATTTTCATTGATAAACCGGCCAACATCTAATGTACATCGGTCGCTCAGTTCTAGTAGTGAAAATAGTGAAGATCACTTATCTGAAAGCAGTACAAGTGAACAAAGTTCGCCTGGAAATTTAAAGAATATGCGATGTAATAGTTCAAGTAATGAAATCCAAAAAGAAATGATTAATAGTAATATTGAATCGGAAAATGCGGATGACATTTTGTCAACAACAAAAGTAGTTGTGGAAAAGGGAGATGAGATAACTCAATCAATTCAAGATGATAATGAAATATTAAATATCGGCGGAAATGACTCCACAAAGGAAGTATCGGGTATGTTATTTTTATTAACATTTATAAATCTTTATTAAGATTTTCGTAATGTGCTGCGATTGTTTTTATATGTGGCAGTTAGTGGCATTTAATGTATTAATGATATAATTAAAAATATGAAAGCTCTAGGCGGGATACCCGACTAACAGAGACGTTCAATACCGATCTATCTGCATTTATACTCCATAGATACTATATATAAGCATAGATCCTCAAGCCACACGAAGTTAAACTTGTATGCGAATGTCTATATGTATGTATATATTTAAGCAAAAAAAAGTGTTATTAAAATGTACAACTAAAAACAAGTAGAAACGTTACAGTCGGACGCTACCGTCTTCACAGTCTAAGCGCTGCCAGTATCAACACATTGTAAGGTATTTTTTCTGATTTTCCACGCCAGCAAAAGTATTATATAGTATTATATATATATATAGTATTATATATATATATATATATATGTAAGTTTTATTAGATCAATAAATCAGGTCAACAGTAATTTTGATACAGTTTTTCTCGGCCAATCCTTAAAATAGTCTAAACTAACGTAACTGTAAAATTTTGTTCCACACAAATGTTGAAATTACTGGGTATATTTTATGTGCGACGGCCCCAAATAAGCATACTTTTTTTTGTCATCGATGGAGATCAATAGTAACTTAGATATGTAATCTGTCTTTTTGGATGCTGGTTTTCAAAGACCAGTTTTTCGTGTTATTTTTAACCTATTTTGACATTTATTTTATTTTTAATTTTTTTTTATTAGAACGGTCATTAAACTGTGTTACCGCTTAAAGGTGATAAAAATATCATGAAAATATAAATATTATCTCGTGTTTGATGGGCATAGAGACGTTTAGAATTTCAAATATCTCGCTTATCTGGGTCTCAACATGATTATACTTATCCACTACTTTTGCCTCTTACCTTTAAACAAAACCACAAACGCTAATACACTGGTATTCTTATTTTAATAGGATTATTGGAATTAAATTGATTGCATTCAATTTATTCATATAATCTGTTAGAATGATATATAAATATAGCAAGAAAATCAATATGCGACTGTAAAAGTGAACAATACTTGGCGATTATTCATTTTTAGTTATTTAACATAATGCTACACAAGAAAACTGATCTAATTTGTAATTGACATAATTTTTAAAATTTGTTATTTCAGATGCCATGTTTAAGCTAAACATGTTTGACGATAGCAACAGCTTCTTCTCGTCGTCCCCTACATTGCAGCAGTCGGTACTTTTTAGGAACAAAGTGGATGAGGATGTAAGGCAGCCGCAAATAAACAGCGTAACGAATTCACATTTGCCAGACTTGCTTAATGGTAAAATAAGTAAAAATAACATATGTTTAATAATAACTTGAATATTTATTATATTAAAAAATCATATCAGTATACAAATTACAAAATATTCTAGGAATAATTTTTACATTTCTCATAAATTTGATTATATTTCTTCTATGATATATTTGTTGGACGGTAATTATCATGACATCTTGGGCTAATTAGGCATTGATGGATACCAAAATGCTGCCAGCACAAATGGTAATTATCCTTATTTCCTGACTAACACTACTTTTGTATATTTATAAATTTATATATTTTATTTAAATTTTGGAATACGTAGTGGAAAAGCTTTCTATGGCTACAGTAAAACTAATTAATTAAAATATTAATATTATCGAATAGTACTGACTTAACAATAAAAGCAAATCGAACATTACTTTTTTAAAAACATATTCAGATTAAGATAAGTGACATAACTTACTTTTACTGGATTATTAACAAAAATATGAACTAACGCTAATGATGGTTGCAAATGTTAATAAGTTACGAAAGTAGGATACACGCTAAAAATAAGCATATCATTAAAGGATGATTCTTAATTTTGCATTACGTCGCATTAATTCAATCATTCCCATCATAAATCGTTGTATGGGAAGCATTTATGGGATTTTCTATCTATAGGATGGTCGACGCTTTTAAAAAGCGCCCAGAATATAATTGATCTGAAATTCTAATCAGTACGTAAGACGTCATATTATGTATTGAAGTTATTAGCCAGAAAGTCATTGTTCTTCCCTAATGTTGGAGTTATTTTGGATCCTCCATGGAATGCTTTTGCAAAGACTAATTTAAGCCTATCACATTTGAAGTACTCATTCTGAGATGACATGCACATTCTACAAAGTCGAAAATCCGTTTCGCAGTTGATTTAATAAATCATTTTTAAATCGATATAAGTAAATCTAAAATAAATTACTTTGCATCATTCCAGAATGGGAAGAAGCCCTTAAAAACTTAATGCTACGCAACAACCGACAAGTAGACGAGCAAGTTCTACAGCAACAACAATTGCAAATGCAACAACAACATCATCACCAACAAGTACTCAAACAACAAGAAGATTTTCTACGAATTCACGAGCTACAAAAACGGAGCAATTTAGTAAATAATGGAATTTCCCATAATACACATACTGGTAAGTTTTTTTAGACAATGCTACTTTATATTGCATGAATGTATGTAATACAAACAAAAAGTTTGAACTTCTTATTTACTCGGGTATTTTATTCTGAAGATGTATGGAGCTTACCAAGTAAACTAAACCTATTTTTTCTTATAAACTGATGGAAATTAAACGTGTTGATGATGAGCGTGAAAGCATTTATTTTGATTTGACTTTTTTATACCTTGAACTCATTGAAAATGGGCATTCAACATATAATGGTTTTGTTAAAATGTATGTAACAGACAGAAGATAGCGTGGAAGATTTTTAAAATACATAAATATGTTAGATACTGTTATGCGTGTACAAGTGTAAATGCATGTATAAAAATGCAGATCGCCGTGGCTAAAGCTTTCTTACTTGTATTAAGTATAAGCAACTAACGTTTTAGCTTAGACATAGGCTATACAACAAGGTCCGATTTGTTTACTTAAAAAACTTGTATATATAATTTGATTTACTAATTGACATTAATTCATTTTTGACTCCAATATTATATATGGCTGACCATAATTTGCTCTTATGGTATGAACATACTAATACAAAAAGTAAATTTTTGTATAAACTTTGTGTATTCGCACGCTATGTTAACTTTACTTCATTAAAGAAAATCATTTCAGCGTTGTTGAAACTTTAGAAATTCTATATTCATCAAATATTATTTTTGCTATTTGAGATATATGCTCATATAGACAACCCAAAAAATATATAAAAAATATATATGTATACGCCCATTGAGTCGTGGTATTTCGGAAAAACTACATTACCATTATAAATGTCTGATTTAAATCTAGTATTATTATTTTGCAGGTAAGATCATTTTATTACAAATCATGGTGTTCAAGGTACAATTATTTTCTGAAAAAGTCGTGGCAATGCTCAGAAGATTTAGCCAAATTCAGATAGCCAGATTCAGATACATCATATGTATTAACCTTTTTTCGATAATTAATCCTATTTTCTTATCAATAAGGAAATAGATTGGCTTTGATTTTAAGCGTAGCTTAAATACTGTAAATTTATTGTGTAGGTTCGATTAATGAATAGAGAAATATATTATATGATTGATTTTGACTTTGGTTACCTTCGGAAACAAAATTAAAGTAACAGCTGACAATTCAATCATAAATGTGATTCTTCATAACGAAAATAATGCTCGATTTTGAATGCCCAATGTTTACAAATGCATAGGAAAAATACTTACGCTTGGCACTGCATGTCTCGTGCTTGTGCTAATAAGCCAAACTTTTTATTTAATAATTGTTTTTATTAATTAACGATTTCAATTAAATTTTCAGCATATGAGCGAAATATTTATCAGTTTAGTAAAAATGCAAACTGCGTTCCACATATTGTCTATGTTTGAACATAAAGTTAAATAATTTGGGGAATTTGGAAAAAAACAAAAACAGAATAAATGTAACATTTGGAGACTCCAGCTCTTAAGCTATACCAATAAAACGAGAACATATATCGATATTTTGACATTAAAACTTGAAACTTCACGTATATTGATGGCTATAGACAGACCTACAAAACAAATTTCATGTCTCTAGGGTCTGAGATCGACGCGTCCCACATACATAAACTCAGTTCATCGTCCTGATCGTATATATACATATATATATATGCCCGCTTAGCGGGGTTCAGGTTACCTAGTCGAGTTTTTATTTACGGGTATGAAGAGGTGTGGTAGAGTTGATTCGAGTCCTGGTGTCCTTATGTCAGTTTACTTCTCCTAATACTTGAAATATATACTTTAGAAAATATTTTAAAACGCGGAGGGGATCAGGGTATCTCATAATCGGGAAGTGAGTAGAGCATTCTTATTTGTTTTGTTTTTCTTCAAATTAAAAGATTGAATTTGAATTTAGCAGACATACATTTAAAAACTATTTCGGATATATATCGGATCTATATCTAAAATATATTTGTCTTAATTCTTAGATTTTCCAAGACATTATTATGGTAACGATGTTGAAGCAAATAGGACACAACCACATGCCCCCGTGCATCCGCAGCACAACCCACAGCAGCCCGATGAAAACTCCGTAAATACAAATAATATATTTGGTGGAAATATGTCAAAGTTTTTCGACTTTCATAAAAGTCAACAACAAATCCATCAACAGTACATTAATGGACAATCTCAGTTAAGTAATGTCGATTCTCATCGATTAGCTATATTTCTGGAAAACAACCGCACCAACCCATCAGTTTTTGACAATGGTAATAGAATTTAGTTGTATTTTTCGCATAACAATATATAAAATGATATATATAATTTGTTCATTCAGGTATTTTAACACAACAAGCGCTATTGCAGAAACAAAGGTTCATGGGAAATTTTGAAAAAACAGTGAGTACATGCGGTCTGAAAATGTGTAGACCTTGTGAAGATTAAAGATAAATTATGTATATATCTTTTCAATCAGAAATCTTTCAAGTCCCATGAAAATTTCGTAATATAATACAATATTTTTTTTCCAGTCTTCAACAAACCAACCACATAACGTGCATTCGCCCCAAAATAGGTTTTCGCAGAACTCATTAGCGGATGATGACCTAGGTAATGTATCCACCAATTGTTGCCGTGTACATGAATATCTTTAAAAATTTATTTTTATGTTTTTTTTTTCAATAGCCACAAATAAATTAAATAGGAATTGACATATACATAAGAACTTCCAATATAATAATTCAGTAAAATGTACAATGAAGACTTCGTTATAAAAGTTTACGATAAAATCTATATAGAGTGCTTTAAATCTATACAAAAGTCATCATTATTCTTCCGTATTTAATTTCTGAAAAAGTGTTCCAGTTATCCGCGCTATGAGTTTCGAGTCTTGGAATTTTCAGAATGTTTATGCTTTGACTTATGTTAATAAATTAAGCAATATGCTCGCGGCTTATGTAAAAATATAAAGCACGATATGGAGCAAAACTTTTTGAAATGCGAAAAATATTTTGAAAAAAATCAATTGAATTAACCATATTATTCATTATATTTCTTTCTGAAGTTTTGATGGTTTTCACTGTATGCAATTTTTTATTTTAGGATTTGACCCGTTTATTGAAACACAAAAGGGACTTGCTGAACTTATGGAAAATGAAGTGGTACAACAGAGTGTTAATGGACCAAAATTACAGCAGCAAACACAACATCCGCATCACCAAATTCTGGATAACATGCAACGCGCCCGAATGCCTCCACCTGGCTTTAATCATATGAATACCTTAGGATTTGACAATGCAAGCAGGGTACACTCTAGCAAAATTCTTCCCTTTATTAATATGCCAGGATGCTCGGTTGGAAACAACACAGGGCAAGTCGAACCACACCACCTCCACTTGGCTACTAACTGGAACTCCCATTTGGCAACATTACACCAACACCAAGGACAACCAATAAATGACTCCCATTTACAACATCAAATTGCCCATGTTAGCATCCAAAATAAAGGTAATTTCATTACACGGTTAACTCATGTATAAAATGTATATTGTTTCTTACATTTATTAATCATGCATAAATAACAAATAACAAGTTTAATATTTTCAAAAATCAGCAATTATTTTTCAACAATTATATAAAAGTTGCTTACTCACAAAATGTGGTTACTTTCATACATAAAACAGTTGCAAAAATATATAAAATATTAAATATCCTTTACTTATAGGATATAGTAACAGTGATTGGACTGCAATGGACCCTGCTATTTTGTCTTTTAGACAGTATTCATCTTTTCCACAGCAAGCTCAAATGCCTCACCATTCACAAGATCTATTTCTGCAACATTTGGCTCAAAGTCAACAGCAAAACGGACAAGGTAAACTAAAGATTATTTTCAAATATTTTTTGGTTTTAATTAATAATAATTTGTTTAATAGGAGGGTTCTGTAATCAATCCCAACAAGTGCTTCCTGGTATTAACATGCCTAATAATATGATGAATGGGCAATCTTCATCTCAATCACAGGTGAACGCTAATGTTCAGGGTATGCTGGAGTTCTTAAAAAATCGTCAATTTGTTTAAAATTTAATTCTGAATATTATATATTGGTTTACCTGTACTACTTATAATATACTTATTGTAATACATACATAGTGAAAAAAATCGAATATAAAAAATCGAAGAGCATTGATGATTTTATTTGAATACTTATAAGTAATAATGTTATTTCCTCTTATAATTTAACAGTGAAGAATTTAATTAAACATAACTGACATTAAACCCTCATTTCTGTAGTATTCGTAGTGGAATAGGACTATATAAGACTTATTCTATCGAATAGTACTCTTGTTCATAAGAAGTACCTATCCTACTGATGATTCTGTTTCACTTTTATCTTCAAAATGGGATAAGTCTTAGAATTTTTTTATTTCTGATTAATCTAATTAACTCTTAAATAAAAATATATAGCGTAAAAGACTAAATTGAATAGTTTCACGAGTATACTGTGAATTAACAACGAAATGTATTCTAAAAACGTCGTTTCGACAAAGACTTAAAACAAAATTAATTAATAGATTACAATGAGCAATAGACGTTAATATTCTTCTTGCACACGACTGATTCGGTACGAGAATTGAACAGCGATGGGGTAGATATAGAGCCCTTAAACCGCCTTTTTCACTGTCCCACTTCCAAAATCAAGACTAATGGTTTTAGAGTTGCTCAAATAAAAATAAGTGGTCGGAATATGTGAAAATGGATGCATTAAGTCGATTTGAGGCGATTAGTCCATGTCCATCTGTCAGCCTGAGTGTGTAACTTTGTATAAACGCATCGATCCCGTAAATCAGAAAATCTACGGACCATTTCTATATTATATTATTTAACACCACGGAAACCCGATTATAACTTTCTACCTAAAATCACAGTTGGACTCTGTCTAGTCTCCTCGATAATAAAATGGTTAAGGTAAAGAACACATATTTTCGTTTTTATTCTCAACGTCTTTGGAGACGATTTCTTGACTTGAAAATTTTTAGTCATTGCTGTCCAACTGGATCCGGAAATAGGTTATTTTGTGAATACAATTGCTTTCAATGGAATATATAAATAAATATATTTATTCTAATTTGAAAGATTTCCATTTTCAAAATAATCTTATATATGGGACCAAACTATATTGAAGGGACCGATATCAAAATATAAATTTTACAATAGTTTTGTGAAGTCTCTAGCGCTATCTTGACATTAATTTTTAGTCGATAGTGTCATTCTAACATTTCGAATTAATCGAGAGGGGTGGGCATTGATAGAAGTATAACTTTTTGGCGCCATTTTTTACGATATTAACTTGCTTTTACCAGTTGCAGTGCTCACAATTAAAATGATAAAGACAAAGTCTGTCAAGCCAGCCAAATTATATGTTATAAAAAGAGGTAAAATATTTGCATATTCGTATAAATATTGGTAATAGCATATTCTTAAATTATTAGATGGAAGAAGGGAAGAGATACATTTTGATAAAATTACATCAAGAATCCAGAAATTATGCTATAATTTGAATATGGACTTCGTTGATCCTGTAAGTATTTACCATCAACTAATATATGTGTACTAATAGCAATATCATAAAATTACTTCGACAGAAAGCCAGTCCTAACAACTAAATTATAGTATATGTACTTTTCAATATGTCAACAGGTGGTCAAATTTTTCCTTCATTACTTACAATTAGTCAAGAATTTTCTTGACCAAACATTTTTTGCGTCAGTACTGTTGTATTTCATAACAAAAGACTAACAAAGTAGTTGAAAACGAAATGTGTAAAACAAAATTAAATTTTGAGAGAGCCTACAGTCTAACTACAGCCATAGCCCCGAAATGATTCGGATATGAACCCAATATTTTTGTTGGTTGTTTATGCAGTGTTTTAATAGAGAATATATAGTGACAGTCGTTTTTGGCATTTTTTATTTGAAACAGAATTTTTCAACTGCGTACGTTATTGATTGGCATGCTTATTCAACACCTACTATGTTACTTATTTTTCGAATTAATGAAACTTTTTAATGGTAAACTATTAAATAATATTTTTTGAGTTAAATTATAAAAAACTAAAAATGTGTAACAAAATAAACATCAAAACCAAAATTACAAATTTCTTAAGTTGTCAAAAAACTGTTTACGCAAACACGTTGATTGTCCTTACTGAAAATAGAAAACACATTATGCTAATTTTAATATTTAGTATGATCTCATTTAGCATTTAATGCATGCTAGAGCGTTGTCTCATGGTATAGACCAACTTTTAACTTGAAGTATACAACAGGGATCCTTTGCCAATCTTCTAGCATAGCAGCTTTCTGTGTGCGGTTCTTTGGATCCCGTGTTCTCCTCCTTATCTTTAGGTATGTCCATACATGTTCATGTGTTCAAATCGGATGTTGAGGCACTCATGGTCTCATTATATGCAAGTTTTCCAACTCCTCGGCTAGATATGGATCTCCAAACCATAACCGAAACCTTTTCAAATTTTACACTTAAAATTATGATTCTGCTTTACAAGATAGTTAATGCCTTTCGCCATAATCTGAATGGACCATTGATACTTTACAGTATTACTATTGTTTTGCGCAAAATATGTTTTCCCAATATTTTGGCTGCTGATTAATCATGTTCACAGCAAAGCGCTTTTCTATATTTACCAACAAACTCCTGAAGAGTACTTATGCCGTAAGATGGCATGGCGTACTGTTTCATGTGACACATCTAGGTCACATTGAAATTTTCGGATTTTGGCCAATCTTCCCCATTATTAAGCGGTTTGTCCCACTGTAAATCTTTCTCTTACGCCTACCTGTACGCTTTTATTCAAACTAGCCTTCCGCGTGGTTTATAACATTGTAAATGGGTTTCCTTGATGTAGAAAACCCTTCAATTAATTCAACAACAAAAAATTATAAAAATCAATTAAACCACATCAATGCTTAATCTCATGCCATTTAAAAGATAAAGTAATTCCGCAATTCAACAAATTTTCACAGCCAAATTAAAAGAATTGCAATTACTGTATTAAGGGACGCCAAAAGTATAGATAACGGTAAATCATCGTAATTTCTAAGAATTATATCGAAACAGAATTCCGAGTCGCAATGTGTAAACAGTTTCTTGACAGCTTGAAAAAGAGTAATTTTAGTTGGTATTTATTTTGTTACACATTTTAAGTTTTGCCTTCTTTTATTCAGTGTGTAAAAAGCTTCTTGACAAACTTTAAATTTTACGCACTAGTTTAATTCTCGAAATTTACAACAATATAAACATATATAAGGTCTTCAATCTGCTTTCATAAAAATATTTCCTCTATATGTTTTACAAATTAATTATATCTTAAATCAAAATTGTATAAATCTTTATTAGTTGTATGGAACTGCAGTATAATAACTAGTAAACAAATTAACAATAACTTAAAAAACACAAGTGCATAAAAGATATTTTAAAAAATTTTGTCTTATTTAGGTTTCAATAACCCTCAAGGTCATCAACGGACTCTACTGTGGTGTATCTACACAGGAGTTGGATAACTTAGCCGCGGAAATTGCAGCCAGTTTAACAACTCATCATGCAGACTATGCACTTCTAGCTGCCAGGATTGCAGTTTCCAATCTTCACAAGGAAACTAAAAAAGTTTTTTCAGGTAATTAACTGGTTTTAACGTTACAGTTGTGAACTTAAACAAAATTCTTTGCACTTTAAGCTGTATTATAATAGCATTATTGTATTTCCAAAGATGATGGTTTTAGGATTAAAAACCCATTTAAACGATCATGTAATATGCGGTATTTATTTACACTGTGCTTATTATTAATTATTTTCAACTGATAAATATGATATTTTTCTTTAAATTTAAAGTTTTATTATATGCATATAGTATACGAAAGGTCGTATAACAAAATTAGGATCTTTTAGTTCTCTGAGTGAAATATTTTCAAGTAAATAGTTTTAATATTTTTCTTGATAACGTTTGACAAAATCGAGAGTATACACTGAAAATAACAAATCATACCATTTGTCTGTAAAACAATATCGTTTTATATTTAAATATAATTTTCGATGTTTGAATTACTCATATTATTTATATTTCAATCTGCACAGATCAATAGTTATTGACTGTTATTGTTAGCATTTAAATTGTGGACTATATGATTTTTACCCCCACCCACACTCCTTATATATTATATATAGTGAATATGTAATACATGATTTAACATCACTAAAGTCCATCAATTGTAATGTATTTAGAAAGGAAGTATTTTAAAAAAAAAAAACACAATTCACAAATAAAGAAGATTCATAGACTTTAACAAATATAAATTAATCCAAATAATAATGTTTATTTTTATGTTTCAGATGTTTTTGAAGATCTTTTTAAACACGTTAACAAAGAAACAAATCTGCCTTCACCTTTGGTGTCAAAATATCATTACAACATTGTTAAAAACAATTCTGATCGCTTAAACTCGGCTATTATTTATGATCGTGATTTCGGATATAACTATTTTGGATTTAAGACACTTGAGCGGTCATATTTGCTAAAAATAAATGGCAAAATAGCGGAAAGACCGCAGCATTTGCTAATGCGTGTTGCAATAGGTATACATGGTGAAGATATTGAATCTGCGGTTGAAACCTACAATTTGCTCTCTGAACGTTTTTTTACACATGCATCTCCCACACTTTTTGCTGCAGCCACAGATCGGCCACAATTATCTTCATGTTTTCTTTTAACTATGGTATCTGATTCGATTGAAGGCATTTTTAAATCAGTTGAACAATGCGCAATGATTTCGAAATCAGCTGGTGGCATTGGGCTTAATGTCCACTGTATTCGAGCTAAAGGCACCTCAATTTGTGGAACAAATGGTACTTCAAATGGATTAGTACCAATGCTTAGAGTATTTAATAATGTGGCACGTTATGTTGATCAGGGCGGTGGTAAAAGACCTGGAGCATTTGCCATTTATTTGGAACCTTGGCACTCGGACGTCTTCGAATTTTTGGATCTTAAAAAAAATACTGGAAAAGAGGAACATCGTGCACGCGACTTGTTTTTTGCATTGTGGATTCCTGATCTGTTTATGAAGCGTGTGGAAGCCAATGAGAATTGGTCATTAATGTGTCCACACAAATGCCCCGGCCTCCAAGACGTTTGGGGTGAAGATTTTGAAAATCTCTATATCAAATATGAGCAAGAGGGTCGTTCAAATCGAGTTATTAAAGCACAATCTCTTTGGTTTGCCATTATTGAATCTCAAGTAGAGACTGGTACTCCTTATATGCTCTTTAAAGATTCGTGTAATAGAAAAAGCAATCAACAAAATGTTGGAACTATAAAATGCAGTAACTTATGCACGGAAATTGTTGAGTATTCAGCGCCAGATGAAATAGCTGTATGTAATTTGGCGTCAATTGCACTAAACATGTTTGTGACGCCAGAAAAATCGTATGATTTTAAAAAACTTAAAGAAGTTACTAAAATAGTTACGAAAAACTTAAATAAAATAATTGATATAAATTACTACCCTTTACCAGAAGCTAAAAAATCGAATTTACGACACCGTCCAATTGGTATTGGAGTTCAAGGATTTGCGGACGCATTAATCTTAATGCGGTATTCTTATGAAAGTAACGAAGCATTCCTTTTAAATCAGCAAATCTTTGAAACAATTTACTTTGGAGCTCTGGAAGCGAGTTGCGAATTGGCTCAAAGAGATGGGCCCTATGAGACCTATATTGGAAGTCCAGTAAGCAAAGGAATTTTGCAGTATGATATGTGGAACAAATCGCCAACAGATCTTTGGGACTGGAATGCTCTAAAAATGTTGATTAAGCAACACGGTGTTAGAAACTCTTTACTAATTGCTCCGATGCCTACGGCATCCACTGCCCAAATAATGGGTAACAATGAGTCGTTCGAACCTTATACTTCAAACATTTATACAAGAAGAGTATTGTCCGGCGAGTTTCAAGTAGTAAATCATCACTTGCTACGTGATTTAACAGAGCTTGATTTGTGGGATGATGATATGAAAAATCAGATAATATCAAGTCGGGGTTCAATACAAAGCATTGAATCTATTCCAAAAGAAATTCGAGATTTATATAAAACAGTGTGGGAGATATCAGTTAAGTCAACTATTAAAATGGCGGCTGACAGAGGAGCGTTTATTGATCAAAGCCAGTCTTTCAATATTCATGTTGCTGAACCCAATTATGGAAAACTCACATCAATCCATTTTTATTCGTGGAAAGCGGGACTAAAGACAGGAATGTATTATCTTCGTACAAAGCCAGCAGCTAATGCTATTCAATTTACTGTAGATAAAAATATATCTGTAGTGGAAACTAACGGACAAAGCTCATTTGACCAAAATGCTTCGTTAGAAGTTAGTAATACAAGTGAGTCTGATATGGAAAGAGAACGTAAAATGGCAGATATGATTTGTTCTCTCGAAAACAAAGATGCCTGTTTGTCTTGCGGATCATAAACACATTTAAACTTCATTTTATATACGCTAAAATTTATAAATAAAAAGTATTTAATAAAAAATAAATCACATTGCTAAATTAATCGGTTTATTCATCTTTCTCTAAGCAGAATATTTTTTAATTTTGGTACCCAAAGTAAATCTTAATTTTCGTCGCATTTAACAGGGAAGAAAGCTCTAGTCGCAGGTGAACCCCCAATTATCAGATTTTCTAGCTTAAAATAAAATTCAATGGGTTCACGGTATGAAATAATTAAAATTTTATTTATTTATTTGTGCAACCCAGTTTCCAAAATTTTATAAAAGTCAATTGTGCAATTGTGCGATTGTGTATGCTATATAAGAGGACCTTAGATCCAAAGACGTCCGAGAAATTCAATGATTGAATCTCGATAAGGGTTTCAATTGATAGCAATACACAATAAACAGTTTGTCAAGAAACTCTACACACTGAAAACAAATATATTTTTGTCTTTAGATAAAATATAATAGCCTATTATTGAAATAACCGAAATTAGTTGAATGCTCAATTGTTTGATATTTAGTCTTAAAAAAAATCACAAAAATAAGAACAAAACTAAAAATGAATAACAAAATTAACAACAAAAACTAAAATAATTGGATGGGCTTGTACAATTTTGTTATTACACATCTAAAACTGAACTATTTTCATTTTTAAAACTCCTGGAAAAAGTCACATGAAACGGTGCACCAGGCCGTCCTAAGGGATAGGTACTCTTCAAACGATACTTAGAAGAAACCGCTGTGTTTGGTGATGCATCTCTAGCTGAGGAGTCGTAGAACTCGATTAAATCGATTACACCAAGAATGCCTCAAAATTTCAAAGATAAATTTGAAGAAAAGTGCGAGAAAATGTTGTTTTTAGTAACAACAATAAACCAAATTTTAATTTCTACCAAGAAAATGATACACCAGGAAATCGATTTGGAAAAAAACTTAGAAAAAGAAATATCTATCCAATGAGTCAATGAAACAACGGCCACATGTGTAAAATGCTTAGTGGAATCAAACTAAGCATTCATTCGTTTTAGATTTTAAGTTTAAAACAATTAAAGTATTTTGTATAGTTTTTTGACAGATTGAAAAATTAATCTTCTTAACTTTTCTCCTTCTTTTTCAAAACGTATTATTAAACAGTTGAACATTGAAAAATTAATTGTCTATTATATTTCCATCTAAAAACAAAAATGTACATTTTTCATTACATATTGTTACTCATTTTTACTCTGTTACTCCTAGAGAGCAAGCGTTTTTTCGCTTAAGAGCACTGATATTGAGATGCCGTATGTTTGATCATCAAACCTAAAACTGAGGCATGCAAAAAAGTTTCTACAAGATGTGTTATTTTATTAGTTGTTAAATAGTTACTTATTATATGCATGTATAATTGCATAATATATTTGATTGGTTCAGTACCTCGTTATAAATCGACCATACCCAAACATTTTTAAATATATTTAAATCGGCCTCTGTCTAGCTTTCAACAACTTATTCGGAGAACCTTCAGAGAAATTTCGCTAAATCATTGGAGGGTTTGTCAAGAATGTATTTCATTTTTATTTTATTTATTTGTATTATTTTTTGGGGAAGGTTAGGTTCTTTGCATTTTAAACAATTCGTCGTTTCTTTTCATCGTTCCGTTCAATCCCAGCTCATTGAGCCTCTGACCTTTTCCTTTACTCTGGTTGCTTCTGAAGAGTTCTTCGATATTGTATGACTGATTTTTGTATTATTTGATTAGTTTTGATTGTTTTGAATTGTAGCTCAGTAGTTATTTGTGAAAATGAATCCCTATTCGCGAGGTGCTTTGATTTTATTATTATTTGAAAACGATTCACCACATATTTCAATTTACTCTCAATCACATTAAATGGTGATTATATTAGTTCGGAATATTTACTCGTTTAGAATCGCTCAAACATTTAAAAATTTAAAATTTAAAATTGGAGTTAATAGTTTACTGGTTCTCCATAATATAAGTTTGTTTGAAATTATGTAAAAATAAAAATATATAAAAGTGTAATTACAAATGTTGCTGTTTTTTTATTTGTTTTTTTTTTTTTATACGATTTTACTCATTGTAGTCCATGGTATTGAATATTTGACGAAAGAATGAAGAAAGAATATAATTTACATATATCGTTGAGTAAGCTTATATACATTATATGAATTAATAACAATCGCTTGACATGATACTCGTTGCTAGAAGAAAAATGCAAAACAAAATCTAAGTTGCTCATGTTATAATATATTTTTTACAATGATAATACTTTACAGTGTTGTCTCCAAAATCTGATTTAAATAACACCTGAAATACATAAAAAGTTATCGATTGTCAGTTACTTCCATCTCTTCAAATTTGTATTTAACATTAGGAGCGCTATTTATTATCAAAACATCTTTTTTTTATATTTAACCCGCAGTAACAACTGGAATGTCGATTTAAATATTACAAGTTTTAAAATGTGAGTTTCTTTAGCAGAACTCTTGCGGTCATGAGTTGTATGTTGCAACATTTGTGTTTGTGTTTTCCTTGTAAATATCTAATGCATGTGTATTTTGCATATGTATTTATGTGTATGTAACTAAACAATAATTTTATGCAAAATGAAAATTAAAATATGTGTCTTTGTAAAGAATATTATTCATCACTCAATTTTAAGTAATTGTGTACTATTGGTGTCTGTTTGTGATTATTTAAATAGATATGTTTCATCAACAAGTATTTTAAAATACCTTACAGTAGAACAAAAAATTTTCGGTTATTACAAAAACAAATATGGCTACACATTCATAAGCTCTTGCCAATATTCGTTAATAAGTAAACTTACGCATATATGTATTTACAAATAAACAAGTCCATGTTAGCTCGCATGTATACATACATACAGTGCATGTTTGCTATAATATATATTGTTTACAATGTTTTAATTTCTATTTCACATATTAGATTATGTATTTTTATGCGTATATAAAATTTCATATAGTTGTGGAACTAACACGATATACATTTGCACTTATACGTGCTAGGTATCAGCTGACGAGCATAAATCAAGAATTGCACGTAATACTAAAAAAAATTGGCATCAAAACTAATTGTCAAATGTACTTTAAGATGAGTGGTTTTGGCCGAAAACGCAATAATCTAAGAATCGTTAAATCTTTGTGTATATCTTTTTTGTTAATTCAGAAAATATTTAATAGTCAGCAAAAGAAAAGCATTAGTAAAAATATCAATTTCGTTTTCTGATTGTGTTAAGAAATTATTACAACTTCGACATACATTTATTTAGAGATTTTTTGCCGTCTTAGTTATCAGAGCCTTAAAAATATTTTATAGTTTCGCCTAAAGACTTTCATTTGATTAATAATTATGGGTAATGTACCTGTACTTGTTCGGCTGATTAAAAAAGGTCGGTAAATTGCATCTTCCAAATAGGTAAGAGCCATTCAGTAAGACGTTTCATACTTCAAACCGTAGTTCAAAAAAGGTTTATTTACAAAAATGTTGTCCCAGCCCCAGCGCTACGTTTATATTTTTATACCCTGATCCCATTGAAAATGGGAAATCAGGGTATAATGGTTTTGTGCAAATGTATGTAACAGGCAGAAGGAGGCGTGGCAGACCCCATAAAGTATATATATTCTTGATCAGGACGACCAGCCGAGTCGATTGAGCCCTGTCCGTCCGTCTGTCCGTATGTGTGAACGCGTGGATCTCAGCATCTATAAGAGCTAGGTCAAGTTTGTTTCAAATATTCTATAACAACTATAATTGTTATCGAAAAAAAACCTTATTGAAATGCAGTAAATAAATTATATTTCGAACGTCTTAAGAGCTAGAGCCATTTTGTATTTAGTTTTATGTATATTTTGTGCAATTTTGATTTTTGTTGGATTTTGGATACCGGCTCCAAATTCCCCCAAATTCTTAAAATTTAAGTTTAGTTGGAACTAGGGCCATTATATAAAATCGTTTGCGTCTCAACCAAGCCAATAGGATATGTAGATCATATGCTGAAAATTTCATTAAAATCCAATAAGTAAAACAGAAGTTATTAAACAAAACGTTTGCCCAATTTGCAAAAGCACATGTCAGCAGCCACGCGTACTCATTTTTCCTATGCGTGTGCACACATACATTCAAATGCGTGTATTCCTTTCTATTCCAAGAATTGAAATTACGATTGAATTGTGCTGAATTATTAGCTGCTACTTATGTTCAAATTTGCAACTGCTCGCGTAAGCAGTGCAATGGTTGCGTTGGTAGAGGCAGCGATCGTATGCAGCTAGGTCCGGGGGTGGAGATGAAAGATTTTTTATTGGTTTATTTTTATTTTTAATTATGAAGTGGCGGTTTTGGTAGAGTTGGTGCACGTTGCGCAAATAATCCGGGTTCGAAACCTGGTCTCGCAATGTCGTTTTTTATTTGTTATCTTTTTTTTTTGAATACTCGATACAAACTAGGGAAAATATTAAAAAACTCAGAGGACTGGGATCAGGGTATCTCCTAGTCGGGCACCCCGACTAGAGCTTTCTTACTTGTTTACTTTGTAAAATTGGTATGAAAATAACAGTAGTGATTTTAAAACAGACTAAAAATAGACTCATAAATAGTGCTTTAATACATACAAATAACATACAATCTTAACGTTTGCACTTTTCCAGAATTCATCGTGCAATAAAAAGCACATATATGCCTTTATAAATATTAGTTATCGCAAAATTTTGCAATGAATGCATCGTTCCATTCATATACTGATATACTAGCGGCGCATCAAGATTCCTCTAGTCCGGAAAATTTCCCTTCAGTAGTCGTTGGTTACAGAACCAGCCACACCAAGGATATTGCTGAAAGTAACTCAAATATCTCTTCGTCTCAATTGTCGTTTATGGATGAGTCTTCGAATGAATTTAATAACCAACAGTTAATACATCCAAACACATTAATAAAAGTGTGTGGTGGTTGTGGAGGTAAGTCTTCAATCTTTTTTTGCATAATTAGAATTTGAAAAATAATTATGTTAAAAGTTATTGTATACTTCATATAACTAGTTCGATAGTAGTAAATGATCGGAATATTTCTTTGATGAAATACAAAATACATTTTTGAGGAGGTCGTAGCTTGTTACTAATAACAAATAAGTATAAGATATATTTGTTTAAGATCAGGAAACATTTAAAACAATATATAATAATATTTAAATAAATCGATCTATTTATAAATGTATCCCAAATGCTTTCTAAATTCAAAGCGAATATTAATTATTGAAATATAAAAATTGTAAAATTAGCACATTAGCACAATACAACTAAATGAAGTTTACAGAAATATGTCGGGTTATTTAATATAATGATGTATTTACAGATTTTCCAGTCAATTGGTATTTTCTTTGGAATTACTCACACAAGAAATTATATATACCAAAGTTGTATTTTTCGTTTTAAGACACGTATATATGAATACAAATTTTGAAAAAGTCCTTTGACTAACTTCAAAAGGAACCAAATTACTTGATTTACAGTGTTCCATGAATGTTTTAGTTTGGGATAACCTGAAAAAATTCAATGAAAAAATGGAGCAATATAAGGTCATTCAAATTAATGTGATAAAAACTAACTTCATATTTATTTGTATTGACCCCAATTTTTCATAATAGTGCTATTTATTTTTACAACTGTATATTATACTATACTACACTATCAGCACAATAAACCGATTATGTTAGTTCAGGTAGACTGACGAAAACTATGTTTTATTAGTAACACTTTCAGAAATGTTAGCTCTGGCATTTTAAATACAGTATTAAAAATTTTAATTTGTTGTGTTAATAAAGCATTGGTTTTGCTGTAAAAATTGGAACGCGTCCCAGTAAATATTCCATAACAATTTTTAATTTACCGGAAATTTATGTGGATTAGAAAGTATAGCGTGAAACATTTTGCATAACAACTTCTCTACGAGAGTGAGTGTACCACTCCGTTTTATAAATCAGTATATACAGTGTATACATTTTTTTCGATCCCTCATCATATTTCCTTATTATCGATAAAATAGATTTTATGTAAGGTTTGCTTGTGGCTTCAATACTGTAAATATTAGAGAATTCAGATATACTGTGTAGGTTTCCGCAATTAATACATAGGCTTAGAAATTTTCCTTCCTTGCTTTCTTCCCCCAAGTTCATAAAAATCCTGCAAATGTCACCGCTTTGCTGGGTTCACTCAGAGTTTTTCCTAGTCGAGTCGTCTGGTTCTACTGCGTTCTTCTTGAATATTATCTAAACCATTTAAATGATAAACATACTTCTAGAATTCCTTTTTAATTTAAAATAAAATTTACTGTTGCAACTAAGATAATATTAAAAAAATTGGTTAGATAAAATTGTAATTAATTTGCTTTTTTTTGTTTAAAGAATAAAATTGTTTTTTAAAGGTTATATTTAACATAAGTTGACGATTTTGTTCGAATTGACTTCGAAAATGCAATTAGGATATGAATTGTATAAACTAGCTAAGGACTTTATTTACACTCATTCACGAAGTGTATGAGTAGATTGGTTTCGTTCCACGCCCGTCTTGCTGTCCGTCCATCTATCCGTATGAATGTAAACTATATCGCTGCTATTGAAGCTGGAGACTGGAAATATGGAACATCTGCTTGCTAGTACAAGCTGTATTTAAACGATAGGCGATAGATAATAGAGCTAAAAAATTAAAAAATAATTTTTGATATTCTGTTGACGTATTTTAGCGATCGACAGATCGTAGTCAGTTAGCCCTAAGATTTGACATTACACTACATTATTGTAGACTACTAAGAATTGGTCGAAAATTTATATTAATGCATAGTGGCTAGTGGCTAGTGGCTAGTTCAAAAGTCAAAAGTATATTCAATAAATAAACGTACTTTTAAGATATAGAATAAAACACGCATCATACTATTTTCAGCAGAAATAAAAATTCACGAACTTTTTGGGCTTTGTGAGATGTTGCATTATCATGCAATAAAAACAGCTGTTTCCACCCTTGATATTCAAGTCTAACACGAGCATTTATAGACCACAAACGATGTAAAACTTGTAAATAGTATTCTTCATTAATAGTTTGACCTTCTGGAACTAATTCCTTGTATACAATACCCTTGAAATCGCATGTTTAACATTGTCTTGATGCTTCTGAAAACACAATATTTTTGGTTTCTTCACGTCCATTTTTAAATCGTTAAACCACTTATGAACTTTTGAACGAGCTAAGCAATCATCACCATACACTTTGCATCAGGTCGGACGTCTCACTAAATGTTTTCCCAATGTTTTTCCAAAAACAAATTTAATATTTTCTCTTTATTCCATTGTATTTTTACGACACAAGCACAAAGCATACTGTCATTAAAAAGTTACGCGTTTTTTTTTAACTTGTGAACCGATTTTTATGAAGGCGACTCCTTTTGAAAGGTGAGACCTGTACCTTTCTAACGATATCAACTTTCAATAGATGGCGTTACGTGTTCCATGGCATAAATAAAAGTTCCTTTTATTTCTTGAACATACTGAGTATACGGCTCTTAAGGGAGTCGCGTATTAAAAAAAAACAAAGGTCTTGATGTTGGCAACGCTTAGACCGTAAAAGGGTATTATTCAGTCAGTAGCTCCAACAATATGAGATTATTTTACGGATTTACCCTTTTATATTCCAAAATGGGAATTGTTCTATTACATTTTTCAGCATTTTATTTTTCAGGTTTTACTATCCAGCATTAATTTTTTGGGAGTTAAGCTGATGACGCGTAGTGTACAGATAAAAAGAAATCACAATTTAAATCAAACTTATATTATTTAAACTATATAACTTTTAGTCTAACGTTTATGTTTACAAAACGAAGACATATTTTGAATATTATTTGGTGAACACATTTTGTGGATACTAAGAAATTAGCCGATATATTAAAAAATTATTGAACTTCTACTCCGTACACGATATAAGAATATATTCTTATAATTTTAAGAGTAAATTGATTTTGTATTTGCCGTAATCTGCGCATTCGTGTACAGAAGAAAATAAACAAAATATATATACTTTATGATTTACCCTTTCAACAATATTTAATCGGTTCCGAGTGTTAAATGGATTTAGGTAAATTTTGCAAAATGTTTAAAAAGGTACAAGGTTAGTATGTAAGTATTAACAAATATTTATTCAAGGGATCAAGATGATGCCTCTAAGGCAGTATTAATTTTTGGTTTTTTGTTTTTTATTTTAATAGCTTTTATTTTTTAGTAAACAATTGAACCCATTTACATGAAATTTCACGAAATTGAAAGGAACATGTTCTCTGAATTAAAATTTTAATAATACCTCGCCATCACCGAACGTTACCGTGGTGGTTTTAATTGGTCGAGTATAATTTGAAAACTGCGTATTTCCGGATCCCAACTCCTTGTATTTTCGCTAGTAATGTTAATTTTAAATCCAAAATCTGACTATCAGGAAGTGTATTGTTTAGATATTGGAAGTTATAAGTTATTTGTAACGGAATATAAAACGATGTATGAAGATAAACAACAGCGACCAAAAATTGACGTTCTCATTATCCATTGTTATTTTCAGCGGTCGATGAAAACACGATACATAGGCTTGTTTTTATATTTTTTCGTACGTAGAACTGAACTTAATAATTCTAAATTGTTATTTATTTAATTGTTATTTATGTAGAACCACAATTTAGATTCGATAAAGTACTTCTCGTGGATTGAAAAAAGGTGTGGTTTTTTTTTTTTTTTGGTGGTTTTAGTATCACGGAAACGATATTATTTAAGTACGACGGAAATTTTGGCAACTGCTGAGAATGTGCTATATGATTGTCAATTTCTCTAATGACATTGGCGCCATCAGGTTGTGAGACTAAGTATTTATCGTACAGCCATGATGTTTTTACCCCACATATTCAAAACAACATAATAATTTAAAATATTCGTATTAATTATTTTCATTAATTGGAAATTATTAATTATATCATTCATTAAGTGAAACATATTTATTTTGTGGAATGTCAGTCCTGCTATCCGCTCGTCTGTCGGACGGAAACTTTTAAATGATCAAAGATATGAAATTACAAACTCGATCATGGACTCAGTTGATACTCTAATTTCCACAGTTGTGGTGCATTAGCCAAAATTTCGTTTTGGTAGACTCCTAAGGATTAATATCGAGTGTAATACAGTCGAATGCCATCCCAATTGCAGTATTTCTACTTGGATTTTATTAATGAAAAATGTATTATTTTAAATATTATATGTGAAAGTATACATAAATAATTAACTTTAAATGTATTCATTGAGAATCGGAAATCAGGGTATAATGGTTTTGTTACATGTAACAAGCAAAAGGAGGCGGGGCAGACCCCATGATGTCTATATATATATATATATATATATATATTGAATAGGTCGATGAGCTGAGTTAATTTGGCCCTGTCCGTATATATGAATGATGTCAAAACTTATAAGAACCCTACGCGCAGATCAATTTTGTTTTAAATAATCGATACATATTCCTCATTTAATATTGTATTAATTTTATTTATATTTTCTTCAATTTTCACTTTTTTCTATGTTGGATGTCTTCATTTTCATTTTCAGTAAACTGACAAATATTCAATATAGTATGTTGATCATATCCTGAAATTTTTCTTTTAATTTATTAAATAAAACGTTAGCCTTATCGGCAAAACCACATAGCTTGCAGCACTAAGTATACTCATTTTCTCTATTTTATTGTGTTATTGCGAATTGTGTTTGAATTGCGTTATTTTAAATTTGGTACCTGTCGTCTGAGCAGTGAAGTGGCAAAGTTGGTAGAGGTGATTCGCTTTGCCGAACAGTTGTGTTTTCAATGCCGGGAAAATCGGTTTATTTTTGGTTGATTCGTATAATCGTGTTTTTATATCTATGCATAAATGCAGTGTAAAAGCAGATTGGCTGGCGTTCAGTGTTTCTCGTAGTTGGCAACCCTTTCTTGGTTTTTAAATGTTTATGTGAGTTTATATGAAAGTTCGATGTATACAAAAAAAAAAAAAAACAAGTAAAAAAGCTTAAGTCTGCGTTTACTAATATTTTCCGTAGTTTGTATCGAGCATTCAAAAAAAAAAAAAAAACAAATAAAAAACGACATTACGAGACTAGGATTCGAACCTGAATTGTTTGCGCAACGTGCACCAGCTCTACCAGCACCGCCACTTCATAATTAAAAAAAAAAAATAAAACAATAAAAAATAGTTCCAACTAAACTTAAATTTTAAGAATCCAAAATCCAACAAAAATCAAAATTGCATAAAATATACATAAAACTAAATACAAAATTTGGAGGCTCTAGCTGTTAAGACATCCGAGATATAATTTATTACCTGCATTTCAAACATGTTTTTATTCAATAACAATTAACTTGACCTGCGCGTGCTATACATCATATATATCATCATAAACATATATATCTCTTATAGATGCTGAGATCCTCGCGTTCAGACATACGGACAGACGCTCAAACAATAACAATATCAAACAATAACAATACAAAATACAATATAATCAGATTCGGTTTGTTACGTTCTTAGTGGGCGAGGACATCAAATTTTCGTCAATCTGTATAGAATCTTTACAGGAGCCCACATGCTGAATTGAACTTCTAGCTCAAAACTATTACAGATACGGTTTTACCTTATTTGCCACACCCCTAATGTTCAAATATCATCCAAGTCAATTCTATAGCAATTTAAAAAATAGCGTTTATGATATACCAGATATAGTATTTCCCGATTTGTCAAGTCCCTAGTGGGAATATCGTTAAAATCCTAACACTTTATAAGAGGAGGGAACCTACGAGTATATATTCCGTTTCTTAAATCTCGAGCTTCAATAGCGGATTACGTAGATACGGTTCAACCAATCTTCTTTTTTTACTTCGTGAATTAATTTCTTATAATTAATTTCATTTGGTTGAAATGTTGAATTTGCTAGTTCCTTAAAATTATTCTTTAATAAGTCGTTCTTGTCTTAAAAACAGTTTGGCCAATTACTTCTTTAACGAAACCTTGGGTTATATTAAAAATTTTCCTTTTTAAATTATATACGGTTAGACTCTAAGAAGACTCTCAAAAATTCACATGATATCAATAATACAATAGCAATACATTGAATACATTAAATAATGGTAACAGAATAAAATTACCTTTTTAGTAAAATAATTTCAAGGAAAAAATATATGCTACAGAAGATGAGAAAAATTATAAAAATAATAAATAAATAATATGTAAATTATATATATTAACTAGCTTATAAATATCTGAATTATGGTCAATGAGCTACAATTTAAATGGTCATCAATCTGACTGAATTTGGAAAATCAATTAGATAATTTATGTTACATATATTATTGTAATTGGTAATAAATCATTAAATGTGAATTAATATATTATGCACTAATTCGTTTCTTTTCTTTTTATATTTTCATAGATAAAATAAGTGATAGATATCTTTTATATGCATTAGACAGATATTGGCACAACGGTTGCCTAAAATGTCATTGCTGTGGAGCTATGTTAGCCGACGTCGGCTCTAGCTGTTTTACGAGACGAGGTCTAATTCTCTGTAAAAAGGACTATTCCAGGTATGATAGATGCGATCATGATTTAAAAAAAACGAATGTTTTTAAATTATTGTTAGACAGAAACCATTAATTAAATTAAGTGTTTATTTACATGAACATTTTACATTTATTATATATGTGAATATATATACATATATATATATTATATAACTAAATTCTATTATGAGTGTTAAAAGTTAAGAACTATTTTAAAAGAAAATATAACAAGGAAATCTAAAGTTAATTGTAATTCTCTTTTCTAGAAAAACAATAGATATTAAATATTTCCCTAAAATTACTTAAAATGAAACTCCCAAAACTCCCTTCACGAAGTAAAAATTTTGATTGACTGAATTATTTTGGGGTTCTGACTTTACTTCTTTAATATTTCTTCTGTAAATAGCATGAGTAGTGTGAAAAATCTGTACAAAAGTAGCACTTATGATTTCGCTAGTTTCAGCTCTCTTAAAATGTCGGTATACCATGAAAATAAACCACATTTGAGGAATGCAATTTTTCGTTTACATTTAAAGAAAAATATCCTTGGTTTAAATTACAGGTTACCTATAAATTCAGGTCATGTCAGTCCATCCGTCCGCATGAATTCAGCTATCCATATATCTAGTAATAACAAGATACTTTAAATTTGCAACATGTATTCTGATATACAGTAGCATACATTAATCAAGCTTCTCCGAATACTATGATTATTGTCTTACTATTATTATAGATATATTTTTATATTCTGAGCCCATTGAATATGGGTATTCAGGGTATAATGGGTTTGTTTAAATGCATATTACTATATGGAGTGTTTTAAAAACGCAGATTGGTGTCTTCTAGTTGAGCTTCGACTAGAGATTTCATACATATACGGTATAAGTTGACGATAAAAGCTGAAGAATTTGTATTTTGCTAAAAACATTGATGTGTGTACACATCACAAACGAAGCCTTGTAGATTTTACTCGAAGGACCAAAAAATGTGTGTACACATCACAAACGAAGCCTTGTGGATCCGGATCGAAGGACCAAAAAATGTGAATACAAATAACTGTGTGGTGTTCAGTTGTGTAATAATCTTTATTCGTCTGAGCAAGAGTTCTTATACCCTGGCTCATGCGTATTTCATCTCTTAACCTAAGTACATTATGTAATGAGTGGAGCTCCAAGCGGGAGACATACTATGCTCTCCCGTTGTGTAGCTTCATATATATAGCTTGTATATACTTATATGCATATGGCATAAACATTAGGCAAGCGGCATAGACCTTAGGCAAAGTGCGTACGCGGCATCTCCCGCGCTGCTGTGGTCTGACCATAAGTGGCTGATCATATTACATTTGTTTATCTTTGCGCTCGCCCTATGTTTATGCGTGGGGACAAATGTCACTATATACGTATTTATCTATTTATCATCTATATGCAGAATACTCTACATTGCTTCGGGTCTTATGAATATGTTATTAAATATACTACAGTATGTTCATGCCTGAACATTCTGCGGGGGGCCAAATGTGACAGCTAGCAGTTTCTGCCTCTGGTTTCTCTTCTTAATCCGTGGCCTGCGTCTCCGTCTGTATAGCAACCCAATTTTTCGATGCTTCCCAGAGTTCTCTGGGACGTCCAGGCACATCGTTGTTGATGCGCTGATTACCTTATTGGTTGATAATCCAGATATATTGCCAGAGACAATCCACCCAAGTTCGGTCTTTTGTCCCAGGGTTTCGTTGATTTTCTTTACTTTTCCCAACATTATTAAGGGAAGTAAATCAACGCCAATGACAACGTCAATTCGACTGGGCTCGTTAAAATGTGGGTCAGCTAGCTCGCAGCCCATCCAATCCTTATTGACATCCATGCCAATTTTCTTGGTCGGAAGAGCTCTCTTAAGTTTTGGCATAACAAGTGCCTGCGTTGTGGTGATGAATTTGCTTTTAAACCGGGGTTTGATTGTTAAGCAAACACTATTTTTAAGGATTTCTATATTATGCGAAATTCCTTGAACTTCCACGTTCCGTTTAGTTCGGCGCAGTTTTAACTGTTGTGCAGCTTCTTCAGATATTAGGGTATTTTCCAGACTTATTTTTAATCTGGATGAGCGCTGTCGCCAGCAACGTATCTTGTCCTTTATTTTCATTTAGACAGTTGCTGCTGACGGTCTCATTTTTATTTGCTTCCTCGTGAAGCAAATTGTTATGTGCTTTGGTGCATTGATTGCAAGTCCAATTCTTTTTGCAATCTTTAACGCTGTGGCTGCCTAGACATTTGTAGCAAAGCGAGTTTTTGAACACAAACTCCTTGCGTTTTTTAACCGGCTCAGCTCTAAATTCCTGACACCTAGTTATTTCATGTCCCGTTAATTGGCAAAAACGGCATCTCTCGTGGCTCGTTGTCTTTGCTTCCCTTGACGTACGGGCGGCGCTTTTTTGCACTGAGTCTATTGAGTTATACAGTTGCTCAATAAACTCTAGTACATCGTCCAAGGACTGAATTTCTCTGGCCTTTTTTACGTGTTGTTCGTAAATTTGTAGGATTTCCGTAGAGAATCGTCGCAACAGAATTTGAGCGATTAGAACGTCAGCTTCATTACCAAATTGACCCTTTTCTTTGATAATGAAAATGCATTCTGTTGCTTTGTCCAAGAACTTGAGGATACTGCCTTCATCATTGTTCTTCAGCAGTTCCATGTCCACTAGCTGGTTGACGGCGTTAGCAAATATTTTGCGCTTATTTTCGTAGCGCTTGCATATTAGTTCCCAAGCCGAGTTGTAGTTAGCAGACGAGCCAATTAATAAATGGCCTACGACCATTTTGGCTTCTCCCTTAAGGCAAGACTTCAGGTAATTCAGCTTCCTTGTGTCGCTGATATCTCTCCTGTTGTGAATCACCTCAGAGAATAACTCGAAGAACGTGGGCCACTCTTTGGGACTTCCATTGAAGTGAGGAAGATCCACTTTCGGTAGCTCTAGAACGTTTCTTTTATATTTTGCAAGTCACCTACACTTCTGTTTAGTTTTTTTGTGAGTATGCTGACATTGCATTCCAGCTCATCTATCTCATCGATGTCGAAGGCAAATTTTTCGTATTTTGCCTCTAAATCCGTGAGCGTTGACTGGACTTTGTTCCACAGGAAAATCAACTTGTCTTTATAGTCAAGGATTCCTTCCTGGCTGCTGAGCTCTAGATTGGCATACACTTCTTGCATGTGTTGCCTTACTTTTAGAGCTCGTTTGTCCACAAGGTCAACCAGCACATCCATTTGGCTCGAGCTTCTTTAGGAAAATATTATTTCCTACTGCCTGTGTTGTGCCTTGGATGTCTTTGGTTGTATGGATGCTGTTTCGTCGGTGTCTATGGCGTGGTCGGCAACTTCGACTTTCATCAGAGACTCCTCATAGTTCCTGATGTTTTCCATTGTGCCATCATATATTTTTTCCTTAAAATATTGATGATCGATGACACCGTTTTGACCAGTGTTAGATGATTGGCAGTAAACTCTGCTGCCAATCTATCAATTGCTGGTAACGCATCCTTGTTCGTGATGCTCTGCCGAATCTTGTCATAGATCTCTGATTGCTTTTTGAGCAACTCCAGAGTTTTTGCCGACAGCATTTTGATTGTGTTTTTTTTTCGTGTGAAAATTTGAACTTAATTTACCCTTTGGCTTGACCCGTTGGAGGTGTTTTTGTTTTGATCGCCTGGTTGATTAAACAATTTTTCACTTCACTTTCACACTTGTCACAAACGTAGCCTTGTAGATTTTACTCGAAGGACCAAAAAATGTGTGTACACATCACAAACGAAGCCTTGTAGATTTTACTCGAAGGACCAAAAAATGTGTGTACACATCACAAACGAAGCCTTGTGGATCCGGATCGAAGGACCAAAAAATGTGAATACAAATAACTGTGTGGTGTTCAGTTGTGTAATAATCTTTATTCGTCTGAGCAAGAGTTCTTATACCCTGGCTCATGCGTATTTCATCTCTTAACCTAAGTACATTATGTAATGAGTGGAGCTCCAAGCGGTAGACATACTATGCTCTCCCGTTGTGTAGCTTCATATATATAGCTTGTATATACTTATATGCATATTGCATAAACATTAGGCAAGCGGCATAGACCTTAGGCAAAGTGCGTACGCGGCATCTCCCGCGCTGCTGTGGTCTGACCATAAGTGGCTGATCATATTACATTTGTTTATCTTTGCGCTCGCCCTATGTTTATGCGTGGGGACAAATGTCACTATATGCGTATTTATCTATTTATCATCTATATGCAGAATACTCTACATTGCTTCGGGTCTTATGAATATGTTATTAAATATACTACAGTATGTTCATGCCTGAACATTCTGCGGGGGGCCAAATGTGACAGCTAGCAGTTTCTGCCTCTGGTTTCTCTTCTTAATCCGTGGCCTGCGTCTCCGTCTGTATAGCAACCCAATTTTTCGATGCTTCCCAGAGTTCTCTGGGACGTCCAGGCACATCGTTGTTGATGCGCTGATTACCTTATTGGTTGATAATCCAGATATATTGCCAGAGACAATCCACCCAAGTTCGGTCTTTTGTCCCAGGGTTTCGTTGATTTTCTTTACTTTTCCCAACATTATTAAGGGAAGTAAATCAACGCCAATGACAACGTCAATTCGACTGGGCTCGTTAAAATGTGGGTCAGCTAGCTCGCAGCCCATCCAATCCTTATTGACATCCATGCCAATTTTCTTGGTCGGAAGAGCTCTCTTAAGTTTTGGCATAACAAGTGCCTGCGTTGTGGTGATGAATTTGCTTTTAAACCGGGGTTTGATTGTTAAGCAAACACTATTTTTAAGGATTTCTATATTATGCGAAATTCCTTGAACTTCCACGTTCCGTTTAGTTCGGCGCAGTTTTAACTGTTGTGCAGCTTCTTCAGATATTAGGGTATTTTCCAGACTTATTTTTAATCTGGATGAGCGCTGTCGCCAGCAACGTATCTTGTCCTTTATTTTCATTTAGACAGTTGCTGCTGACGGTCTCAT